GCAAACGAAGCCAGCGCAATCGCACTGAAGCACCGCCCACACCGCTAGCCTAGGATCAAGGCGTTTGGCCCAAGAGGGGAAAAACGGGCGTCCCTTGTTTCAACTGCAGTTTAGGCACGCGTATCCGCTGTCTGAAAGGATATCAAAGGGCGACCCCTCGCCACACTGGTACCCGTTTTGAGCAGCATCTTTGATGTCAACTTTTGTTGCCCGGTATCCGTGGGATTTCACACACTGGGTGGCCATAGCCGTGCCGGAGAAGAACTCCACCCACTGAAATGCCTACAGGCACTGTAAAGCAAATGCGTGAGGGACGCTAAGAGATATAAGTCCTCTTGCGATGGCTTTTTTGGGCTGCAAAGAGTGAAAGGAAACCCATGCCTTGGGGGCCCCTATTCCAATTCAACAACGCCGTACGCTGCTTGAAAGTCACTGGGTCGAATTGGGAGGCCGGCGAGTCCATCCACACCAAGAGCAAAACGATCAGCACGAAGGCCTGCAGGTTTGCAGCTCTCGCCCCCCAAAACGGATCCCCTTTTTTGAGTTCCAAAGTGGGCCCTTTTTCGCTCCCCAAGGGACCTTTTTAATGGAAGGTTACTTTGCCAAATAATTTGAGCAAGGGGATCCATCTTCGAGCCACCTTTGAACTTTTAGAGCACCGCTTGCGCACGCACGCCTTTGAGACTCCGAGCTTGCGAAGCCCAAACAGCAATTGCGCCAAGGCAAGTTCCTTCATGGCTTGGACGCGTTGGCCAAAGTGGCCGAGTTGCAAAAATGGCTAAAAACACGCCTGCGGTCAAGCGCTGCTGGCCAGAATGTACTGTTCAATGTGGGTTCGAGTTGAAAATTGCTTGCACTAACACATGCCAGGTTGACTGGTCATCGGGAGAAGCCCCCGCTTGGCCAAGCCCCTGTGGCCAGCCAAGGGGTGTGCCGCAGAGTGCTGGGCCATAAGCCTGCGAGGGGGCGGTGTCACACACATGGCATTGCTCAAAAAGGAAGGTAATGCACGTTAGAACTGTTTACCTGCCGCCGTCTCTTTTGCGTCGGCTCTCGGTAATGCATGTGCTTTCCCCAGCGTAATCACGCGTTCCCCCAGCCCATAGGGGCATTGGTAAGATTTTGCGGCACTTAAATCAAAGCGCTGCAAGCATGTGGAGGTTCCCTAGACTCAGCTTTCACACAGACACATGCGTTGCATGCGCTCCCTCACAAGGACTGCTCGCAGTCCCTCTTCAATGTCTCTTTGGAACGTTCAAAGTTGGCCAATGCGGTGGCCAAAGGTACACCAGAGATCCACTCCCGGGCCTGAGCAGGCTCGTGTTAAAACAGGCAGGCAGCCCTAACTGTGCAGTCCAGCGGCAGTCTGGCAAAGCAAGTCCACACCAAGACCCATCTTCATGGGCAAAGCCTTCGCGTAGCACACCTGCAGGCGAGCGCCGTGAGCAACTTCATCAAGGCTGGTTGGCGGGAGGGTTGGCAAACCAGGCCTGCTTCAAAGCCCCATCCTTATAGGTGGACATGCTGACGGCGCTCCGGGACCAGTAGATAATGATCTTGCACTTGCCAGCGAGCTTGCTCTTGTTGAATTTGGCAACTTGGGACTTGAGAGCTAGCGTAGCTGGCGAATGCTGGAACTTGGCGCGCTTGGCCTCCAGGGGCTTTCTGCAACTAGCGCGAAGCGCAACCAAATGTTTTTTTCGAAGCAACAAGCACAGCTAGGTAAACAGGTTCTCGCGTCTGGCCTTGGGCTGGTCTTCCGTTTCCTTGGCGGCCAAGGCAGTTGCTGCGCGCTTGGGTTTCTTGGGCGTGCGAGGCAGTTCCTGCGACGCTTTCTTGGGGCTGGGTTGCCACGCGCGTCTGACCCTGCGAGCTTTTTTCTGCCGCTTTGTGCACCGCTGCTTGGCGGGGCTTGTGTTGCCGCGCGCCGTCTTGGATTTGCGTTTGTTCTTGCGCCCTTGGCTCTTTTGCTGATGCCTGATGCCAGCATCAGGCAGCTCGTTGTCCGTGGCTGTGACTTTCTTGTTGGCACTTGGCTCCGGACCGTCTTGTGCCTGTGGCATGTCCTGCGCTGTCACTGTCTCTGACAGCCCTTTTTTCGCCTTTGATTTGCAAGCGGTCGCCTTCTGCGCCTGCGCGTTTTTCTTGGCTCCTTGTGCCGTTTTCTTGGCAGCTTTCAACCCGATTTGCTGTGAGCGAAGCAGTACCTTAGGCGACACGCGCGCAAGGCAAAAAATAATTTCGAACCATGCTTCAGAGCCAAGGTGCAGGAATAGGCTGCAACTCAGTGGACTGGTCCAAACTTTCCAGACCAGCCTCCGCTGGCTTAGGTGGTGTTTGGCTCAAGGGCATAGTCTCCTCGTTGTCGTGCCCGTAATGCGGGGGAGCACCTGGCACAATTCTGCCAGCAGCAAGTGAGGTTGTGTAAAACCCCCCTTGGTTGTATATCACCTCTTCAGGCTATCGTGAGCAACCTTGTAAAAGTGGCAGCTCCAGCTCGGAAATGGCAACCTTTGAGTACTCTGCTTTGTTGTGTGTGCGGATGCGATTTGGCAGCTCCACCTCAAGAGTCGCAACTTTCCAGCCGTGGCAATCGCCGCGAATGTGAGGAAAGTTGTGGAAACGTTAGTGTTGTCGTTTTCGTTTTGATGCCGCTTTGTTGCCCTATCAAGTTCATTCGAAAGTACCCTTCCGTGCAGCTTACAAGGCTGCTTTATGGGTCTGTCGTTTTTGAGGGTATCCCCTTTTGGGCCGGTTTGATGGGAAACGAAGGGCTCCATTTTGCCGGGCCTTCGAACAAAGAAACGTACCCTTTTTGAAGTGTAAAGCGGAGCAATTTTGGACATAAGGGACCTCTTTCGAATACGATACTTGTATCAACCGAATTTACACAACCTCCGCTAATCGCTACCGGGGCGCTTTCGGACTGGAACACGGACTCTCGCTGCTGCCTGGGAAGCAGCTGCAAAACAATTGAAACCAAACAGCGGGTGCCCAATATTGTTCACACCTACCTTTTTGTCACACGGTGCTGCGGAAGCACGTGCTGCCAAAATACTCCTCGGCTGCCTTATTTAATTGTCCGCGAAGGATTTTGATTTGAGCCAGCAGGTGTGCCCTTTCTTGCAAGGCCGGGTCCTGATCCGGAGCTTCCTCCTCGGAATGGATGAGGATTGCGTCAGGCTGGGCTGCGGGAATCTGGGCTTCGCTTTCAACCTCGGTGGGGGTGAAAGTTCTACCCGGTGTGCTCTGAGAGTCTCTGGAAGCAGTTGAGGCTTCCCAAAGACGTTGCTTCAGCTCCTGGATTCTGTCCTTCATCAGCGCTTCCTTTAGGGGTGGGGTGTCCAGAAATGCTTTGGCTGGCGGAGTGCACTGAGTGTCTGGGATAGTGTCAGGCATGTTGACGTGTTGGGTGTCGGAGACGGCCACTGGGGCTTGCTCATCCTGCGAAGCCTCATCCATGCCCGCATCATCATCGTCATCTTCATCGTCGGATCCAGCCTGCCTGCCGCCAGGTCCTTTGATCCCGCGGTGCGGGTAGTTGGCCTGCGGCGGGTGCACTGACACCAGCGGACACCGTGGAAAAATGAGTCCCTGGCGATTTCGCCGAAAAGCTGAATGATCTCCAGGATCCTGTTGTCCTGCAGGGGTCCCAGAACAAGTTGGGTCCCGTTTGCCGGGAGGGTGACCACTTGCAAACTATAAGTCTGTTGGCCGGCTTATTTCTTTGGGTCTCTTTTTGCTTATGCCCTTGTCCCGGGGCTGGTGCCCGCGAACAAAGCGCCCTCTTGCAAACAGGACCAGGTTCTTGATGGACGTAGTCACACAGTAGACACGAGCTGCAACCTCATCCGGGATTTTCACCTTGAACAAGGTGCCCTCCGAAACATTGTGGAACTCGTTGACGATGCTGTAAAGCATTTTGATTTGTTCTTCAACTGCTGTTTTGGATGGGGGCTTCAAGCATCCACAGGCCTTCATTCTCTGAATCAAGGGCCCAACAATGCACCTGTTCATCGCACAGTGATCCGCATCCTTGGAAGCAATTGGTAATCCATTGGTGGTGCAAACCAGCTCACCAATGTCTTTGCGGCCCAATCGCCCGCGAACTTCAGCATCTTGCCACCACTCCCTTGCAAGACCATTCAGCCGAACTTGGTTCATCGCTGACCACAAGTCTTGGGCACCAAATCTGCAAGATAGACGTGGTAATCACCACAAAGCCGAGAAAATGGGAATGTGTCCAAACAGGGGGTTAAAACGAGCTTGTCTTCGGGGCAAGTCTTTCCCCCAAAGCAAAACACGTGTATTGAAACATTGGCAGGTTGCGCATGGCAATAGGCAGAGCGGGGATGGACCTTGAATTCAGACATTGCGTGCAAACATGTGGCTGTTTTCCTGGGATACTCAAGCGTTTGGCTTGGCGCTCATTGTTGGCAACTGCCAGTTCTTGTCTTTGTTCTGGGCCGTTTCCTCAAATCAGGGGTGGTGGGTGTCGGCTTAGAGGATTTGACAGATTTTCTTAAGTCAAAATATGCTGTGGATCTAACAGATCCCTGGAGCCACTTCCAATTGCGGCGTACATGAGCATCAGCATGCACTCCTGGCAGATGCAGGGCGGGTAAGTGAGGCGTTGTACCACTTTTTTTGGTCATACGGGCATAAATGTCTAAACCCCCCCATAATATAAACATACGGCCAAAATGCTGCAAATACGGCATTCGACAAAAAAAAAGTGGTAAAACGCCTCCCCAGGTTTCCCTACAGACGCCATGGGGCTCGCTACCGTACCCTTGCCCATCATAAGTTGCGACCATGGATCAGTTGGCGATGGGGAGCTTTCGCATCGCGTCTTCATTTTAGCGGGGTGACCCTAATGGGTTCTACCAATTGCCTTGCAGGATGCTACGCGTCCTTTGGCGCAAGCTTGAGCTGGAACCGTTTGGAGCCAGTTTATTCCAGCACGTTTAGGCCCCCTCGAGCGGCCTCGGCTTCTGCAGGACTTAGATGCGCTGCTCAAGCTCATTGTGGAAGCGCAGGCACAAGGCCTGCGAACCCATCCCACACAAATCGGTCGGCAAATCTTGTACAACGCAACCACCTAGTCCCCTTCAAAGGTAACCTGACGGGACATGGTCTAAGTGTGTTACGCCAGGGTTGGCCCAACCCTGGCGTTCGGGGGCAGATCGGGGTTTCAATGACATCCATGTTCCTGGTTTCGGTTGGGTCTATTGTTCGAATAAGTCCAACAGAAAAGAGGGACCTTGTTGGTTTCTCCCTCTAGGCAGATACGGACAAAGAAGAAAAGGATTGGCAAATTTCAGACTTGGTGGTCTTCAATCCTCCCACCCTAGTAAGGTTCGATTCGAACCCCTTCAATCAAAACATTCAAACGTGTCCCTTCCTTACCTTTCTTGGGGGAAGGCCTTTCCAGTTTCATTTTCTAAGATGCTAGATTTCCTGGTCCTTTGGGCAAGGCATGAACCCACTGCTTTCAGTGAGGTTCGCATCATTTACCGACGCCCAGGTGCCCCAAACGGACCGGAAACAACAATACTTTTGGGCAAATGGCAGCTGGGTCAACGTCAGGGACCCAGTTCTGATTCCCTGAAAAGGCGCAACAAGAGCTCGCAAAGCAAGTAATTTTGTTGGGATGACGTTTGACATGTTGTTTGTGGTTTCCTCTTTTCGTGGCTTCCTCTTTGGCGTTCTCTTTTGGGCCAAATTGTCACACAAGTGCATCCTGGTTTTGTGGTTCCAGCATGGAATTCGGCTGGCTGCAGCTGCTTCCTGTTCGCCAAGAGTATCCCCACTCAAGTGTTGTGTTGGGCGGGATGGGGCGTATCTACAAAGGGACCCTTCCATACAATTTACCCTGGACTGTGGGTAGAAATCATATTGTTTGAGCGAGTCGGACCATGAAGGACATGTTGGCTTTTGTTTGGCTTCCCTTCGGCACAGGGCCCCTCCCCCCCAATTTTGGCAAACACACATGTAGACGAGGGACTCTGCTCATCCCACGTTGTTCAGGGATTTATTGGTGTGGCGGATTGGCGTACCCCAACAAAGATGCTGGGGATGAACCCCAACAAAGGGGCTGAAGACGAACCCCAACAAAGGGGCTGGGGATGAACCTTTGGCTAGTAGTTAGACAATTTGTGGAGGGGGGGCCGGGATCGTACCATGAGCCAAGGGAACACTTCATGAAAACCCAGGAAGAATAAGATGGGGGTATCCCATTTAAGAGCGAATCCTGTCCTCCTGGGCCCACCCGCATATTTTGCATAATCCACAAGGTTGATTGCTCCGGGGTCGACAGAACGAAGGTAAGGGTTCCAGTTGGAGGCTGCAGATCATTCGGCAGAAAGCGGCTGGAAGGTTGGTGGGGGGAGATCCCTTGGCTGAGTTTTGTCCTACCCCATGTGTCCTTGGCTCCCTGTAAGATTTGGACTCGTCATTGGAGTGAGCCCCTTCAGTGCTGAAAGGTTGCTAGGCTAGGGCCTGGTCGTTGACTTCTTTGCAATATTTCCAAGCAGCTCCTCGTCCTCCAGGTAGATATTGAAATTGTGTCTCAAAGAAATTGTGTCTCAAAATACGACCCCCCCCCCAAAAAAAAAGAAGGAACATAAAATGCGCCAAAAAGGATGTTTGCACTTTGGCTTGCCCTGAAGACTACCCCAAAAAAGGGGGGCACCCTCCAAGCAACAGGCCGAAATGGAGGTTCCCAAAATGGACCTGGATGACCCCGAGAAAGGTGTGCCTTAAGCGCGGTGGGTGCCCGGTGTCTTTTCTTTTGGTTGGAAGCTGCCGGGTTTTTTCCCGAGAACCAACTCCGTGCCCAAGGCATCATGGCTGACCAGCTGGATGCAGCCAGAGCCAAGGCCTCCCAGCTCCAAGACCAGTTGCTGCAGGGCGGCTCCCAGGGCGACTTCTGAGCGGAAGCCTCCGAGCCAGACCTAGGTCCCCCACCTAGCCCTACCAACAAAAGCCAGGCACGAAGCCCAATCGCATGGAGTTTTGTCTGAGTCTGACTAGGTTCCCCAGGGTCTAGGTTCCCCAGTAGTGCCCTTCCTCACCCCTTTCTTGGGGAGGAGGGTTCCCCTACTAAAAAGACTACAGAAGAACAAACAGGGTACCCTTATTCTAACCTCTACTGGAGAACCTAGATACTGTGGATGGACAAGATCCCTTGGCACCACGACATGAAGCCATGGTTGAATCCACAAGGCTTGGTATTTGCGTTGGGGAATCGTATCAGAAACCAGGGTTTCTGACTGGTGCGAGATGGATTTCGTCCATCTCCAGTAGGCATGTGCTTGCCTATAGCGGGCTCCACCCGCGGGGGTAGAGTGAGCTCACCGTGGTAAGCATCCTTTTGCAGGTCCCTCAATTTAGCTGTTGGAAGTTGGAAGGATTGTAAAATGTGCAGATGTGGCAAATAAGAAAACCACCCAAAAGGAAATGGCGTTGCTTGTGGCTCAATAAAATATGTGGAGTACAACGAGCTCACCCACAGTCCTTTACTTGGAGATCTAGATCTCATTCCAGGTCATCCAAAAGTGTTAAGATATGAGATTCAGTCAAAATGTATGTATATTTGTAGTCTATGATGAATCTGGCAGGGCATGCGGGACTGTCCAAATTCCCAACAATCCCAGCGGCTCGCTAAGTCTCCTATGCCCTTTGTGGCAACCGCATATTCTGAGCGTGGCTCATATGAAACTGGGGTTTTAGACCGGCTGGTAGTGGTTACCCTTTTTAGTAGAGGTGCCCCAGTACGCATTAGGATTGCGGCTCCCCTCATTTGGAACAATCTCGCAACGCTCTTCTGATGTTGCAGGCCCTGCATTTCACGCCGGTGTCAAGATAATTACTGACAATTTGCCTACGAGGTATCAAAGAGAGCAACTGGGAGATGTTTCACGAAAACGCAACATTTGCGACATTTGGGGGCCGACTCGGATAATGCTGAAGCCATGGAGTCAATGACACCCTGATCAGTTCAGTGGCACCCTTTGAAATCCGCGGAGTTTCATGGGTTTCGGATTCAATACGCGGGCCTGGATTATTAATGCCAACTTCCGAGTAATCCCTGCTTAGTAATATATATAACCCTGCAGATGAATCCGAAGTTAACATTACACATTTGCCCAAGTTGAAGTTTTGTTGATACCCTTTCTTTGCGATTCAGGCCCTCATGTTCCATGTTGACTCGAGATTTCAACAGGCTGACGAGACCAGTAGAGCAGCATCCAAACCTGGTATTCATCGTTCGACAAGAGTGTTTGCTGTCGGGCTTATCTCATAGGGATTGTATAGCAAAGCCTCTGTGAAGCTTTACAACCGTAGCTCAGTTTCTTCCTTGCGGGGAGGGTGGGCATTGATCGATGATTCTCGGCATTTTTGTTGCGCCTAGTCCGGGCAAAGTCCGCGCTGAGTGCATCAGATCCTCACAGCGGAGGTGCGAAAAGCCGCCAGCGCATCCTCCCAATCAATTTGTTAGTATCTATGGGGAATGATTCATCCCAACTATCCTTTTGTGTTTCTTTTGGACATTTTCCCTGGTATGACTTAGGGTTTTGAATGGTCACGGGGTTGACGATATGAGCCTGGGTAGTCATAGACCTTCCTAGTTGGGATTGTAGACAACCATGAGAAGGATTCCTAGTAAGAGTGCCGTAGCCATGGCACATATTGTGTCCACCCCTGGCATCCCCACCAAAGAAGACGTGCAGAAAGCGCGGCCAGTTGGTTGTCCAACCCCTTTCTCTCCTTTCAACCAAATGGCCCTCTTTGCTCTGAATACGTTGAACCTGGCCCCGCACCCAGATCCGCACATTCCCAGAGCAAAAGCGCCGCTATCTTTCCATGCTTGTTGGACAATTGAGCTTGGGGGCTTGTTCCGTGAGCGGGCAAAAGTAGCCATCTTGGAAGGAACCACCAATGTGGAAATTATCACATGGGCGGTAGTGCTGAGAAAGTGCACGTGAACAGGTGTGATTACCACCCCACGAAGCGTGGCAAATGTCTTGCAGCAGGGCTGAATGCAATCATTTTTGCCCCGAACCCCCTCACCCCCAAGACCCAAATCCCGGTTCGCGCTGCGGGTCTTCACCAACACGAAACCTTTTAGTAGGGCGCTGCAAAAAACAGTTTGTTTGCTAACCAGGCTATGGGTTGTGAAGAGTTTGAACCAAACACAAATGATCCAAAGCATGGCAACTATCGTGGCCGGTGAAGGTACACCCGCCAATTTTGCGCACAGCCAGAAGGCAATGTGTCCAAGGTGTGAGTATGTGTAAAACTAGCCGAGTCGCGTGTCACAGCCAAAACTAATTGTCTAAACTGGTTGGACCAAGTTCGATGCTGCGTTGGGAAAGGCATTTGCAGTTTGCCCTTTGATACCTTTTCGGAAAGGTAATTGACTCTCTTTAAGGGCTTTCGACGCTCATAATTTCTTCCCCTTTCAATACACGGACCCTATCAATATATTTGTTTTTTTCCAGACCGCCAGGTCCCCAATACTACTTTTAGAATAGGCCAATTCCATACCAATACTAAACTCTCGCATTTCTCACCCAGACCAGCTCCAGCCTTGTCAGGGTGGGTAATTAGTCCAGGACCCAAGCTCCTACAGGGGCCTCCCTGTCTGCTTAAGCAGAACGGCGAAAGATGCGCTGCCATCCATGTCTGTCTCCCTTACCCTGCATGAATCTGTGCTGACCCAAGCCAACCAACAGCCAAACGTCTGTCCCTTTCAAAGTTTGGACTACAAGCCCGCTGCAAGGGATGAGCATCGTTGTCGCCAGAAAGCCCATCAGACCCAAAAACACCCTAGTAATAAATATGTTTCGTTCCCGAGGCTGATTTACTAATGGGGGGAGGGGGGGGGGGGGCCGGGTTTAGTATTAGGGGGAAGAGATTACAGAGTGTCCAGCTTGATTTGGTTAGAATTCTTCAAGTCGTTTCCTGAATCTTTCAAGGGAGGCCCTTTGGTTTCCATGGGGGGGGGTCTGGCCTTCATAAACGAAAGGACCCGGACGTTCTGATTTGGCTCAGATCCAGCCATGCCCTGCGGGCTGTAAGCGGGCGCGGGCGCGCGCATGGCGCGCGCGCTCAGCGGGGCGGGGTGCGGGTGGCTGTTCTTGCTGCCCTCCCAACCACAGAAATGAACGCTTGCCAGAGGGGGGGGGGCTTCATGATGTTTTTTTTGCGCAATGTGCTTGAGCCAATGTGTGTTTGTTTTGGCGTGACTGCAACACATCAAGTTTTCATAATTTCAGGTAAACCTTAGTGTAGGTTCTGCCCCCGACCGGCCGCCCACCACTTTTGCTTGGTGGGTGTTTCTTTGAGGCTTTGGTATTCAAAGTTGCTCCAACGACACTGGCACGATAAATTTGGCAGGCCAAGGGACACCAAGGAAAATTCAAGCAGGTTGCTAGCCTTGATTTTGTGTAGAGGATCAGAGCAACAGCTGATATCGGGAACACTTGGGAACGCTAGTAACTGGTTTAGCTGCCTATCACGTGTTCCAACCCGCTTCATGTAGCGTCGCATTTTCGGGGGGCGGGGGGGGGGGGGCGTACGGTTAAGGCGAACCTTTTGTTTTTGTTGTCATGCGTTGCAAGGGTTCACGTCACAGTGACTAAAAACTACTTCGCGCATGAACCCCCATTGGCGGGCCGCCCATTGCCTGGGAAATCTCCAACTGAGTCTTCACTGTACCTTGAACATAGCTGTCTCTGTTTGATTTAGGGTACCCTTGTTTGGGGATGGCGTAAGGGCAAACCAAAGGAAATCCGCCACTTTGGGGGGCCAACTATTTTGACACATATGGGGCATAAGATTAAAGCAAATAGGCCGGAAGACTACTCCTCGGTGCATTTTGCTTGGATGTTAGGACTTGAGCTTTTTGCCAACTAATGGGTTTTCCATTAAGCCACTAGAGGTTAAAAACTTTTAGCGGGGGAGCAGTTTCAGCAAGCGAGTACTCGAGTTATTCAGGGCCTAGCCACGTTTGTTTCTGACACCTGGGCCAACCCCATGGCTCCTTCGCCAAGGCTCCGGGCCCAGTGGTGCGCCCAGCTGCCGGTCAGTTGGGAGGCATTGAACCAAGAGGACCAACGGTTCTAGGGGACACTTCCCCATTCTGAGCCCAGGGATCCGAATCTTTTCAGAAAACCATCAGAATTTAGGGGAAACAGCTGGTTTTCTTAATCCAAGAACGATGGTTGAAAAGAATGGGGAATCAACCCCTAGAACGATAGCAGGGTGCTAAGCCTTTGATCAGATCATGCAAAACCTCATGCAAGACATATCCCGAGGCTTGCTTGCAAAGCCTCTGCAAGCAATGTGGAATCGTTTGGTTGTTCTGAAAATCATGTTGTTATCGATTACCCTCCCACCAACGAACATTGAACCTGACGTTCGGGGCCCGGTCTCTTTTAAAGGAACAAGCGGCTTCCAGGACCGCTCTATTTCTGAACAACCAAGCTATCCCACATTGCTTTCAGAGGCTTTGCTAGCAAGCCTCGGGATATGTCTTATATACATGAGGACAAAGTCCAGAGAGAACGCGGCACCTGGAAGACTACAAGGGTGCAGGAAGACTGCGGGATAGAAACAGGACAACAACGGGCCCCGGGGGCAGGTGTCTACAGCGACTGCCACGCGAAGACCACGGCAGTTTAGATAGACGTACAACGGCTGAAGCCTTTTTCGCTTTGCCGCGTTTTGTTTGGCTTACCACGGTAGAGCCCAATTATCCCTTCCAGCGTTTTCAAATCGCCGAAGCCAGCTGCAGGATATCCGACTGGAAGTCACACATCACAACCAGGGCTTCAGGCTAAGTTCCTGAGCACACACCCAGTTTTGGGGACCCCTAACTCCACGTGTTAGATTGAACCACGCAACAGATGAGAGATCAAGCCGAGGACCGCGAGCAGCGTTTGGAAAAGCTACTGTGCTCTGCTGGGTATGGTGGTGTGGGGGGCCCAGGGCCTCAGGCCTCAGGGGGGCTGCAGGTTGGCGGTTTTCCGAGTCCGATAAACAAAAGCGGGTCATTCCGGTTTCCCTGGCGTGTCAAAGCCCATGCTCAACAGGGCCCTTTGGATCATTTGGATCCTTTGACGGTAGCCAAATATGAAACAGGATATGAACATATGATTTTATGCGTGCCCCAGATGTAGGCCAAGCCCTAGTGGGTTAAGCATGGCGTTTTTCCCGCGAATGCCACGTGAGATTTCTCTGGGTGAGATGCTGACAAGGACATGGGCTACAACAAGGCCTCAGGGTCAATCCATGCAATGCAAGTACCTCTTGGTTCCCCACAAAATGCTTTCTCCAGGGCTGGCTCCCATGGTCAGCAATAGTCAATGGGGCGTGGTCCTGTGAGGCACTCCATGGCTTCCAGCATCTTGTCAGAAGGGTTCATTTCAGGCGGACCCCTCTAAGTGGCACATGCCAATCAGAGCCAGCTTTGCAGCAAACATCACTCAGGTACATGTGAGCCTCCTTTTGCTGCTACTTTCGTTCAATATCGCGAAGCCGACACCATTATGAGCTCAACACGTACGAGGTGTTTCGGGGAAGTTCGCATTGACTCCACGCCTCCAGCCCTGCAAGTGTTGCCTTTGGGATGCAGAGGCCAGGCCCACGTAGGTTCTGCCACCAAGTCTCGCATCTCCATCGCAAGCGGATGGCATGGGACATCTTGATAGCATGCTTCGTTCCGCCTTTCCAACTGTGTTCAATTTCACGCTCGCGCAGTTTGTTTGGAGGCCGAGTCTGGGGATGCTGTGCACAGAGTTCATGCACCCAATTACAAGTGCTTTCATGCAGATGGTGTGCACACGGATGAATCTACCTGCCCAAGCAATGAGCCTTCCCCAATCAGGCCAATAAACTTTTAACCAGCAATGGTTTGGGGGACCGTGTATTCGACGCCTTCAACTTGCTTTGGCCCTTTTGGGGGTCCTTTGGGGCCATTTTCCTAAAGGGAACGGGTCCCGGTTGAGAGCCATGTTTAGGTGATCCAAGACAGCACCCGGGAACCTCGGTAGCTCCGGAGCAACCAGCGAAGTTTCTCGAGTCTCCAGGACCTGAAGCCGCGGGGGTCGCAATCCGTGAGTCGGTTGGTAGCTCAAAGCTCAAGGCAAAATGGGGGGCGGGGAGCGGGGGAGCGGGGGGCGTGGGGGGAATCGTCCCTGGAATTTCTTGGGGCTTAAAAGCGTTAAAAGCAACAAGTTGAAGGGTTTTTTGTTGCAAGGTGTGCAATGCCCTTTTGAGCTGTTTGTGGACCTGAAATGATTTTAGACACCTTGGCAGGCTCCCCTTCAAACAAGCTTGGTGGAAGCATGTTTGCATCTTAAGCAGTCGTTGTTGAATTCCTCTGGTGCAGTTGAGCCAAGATGGTGTCGGAGTAGTCCAAGGGAACCGAGTCTGACAGAGAGGGAGCGAGAAGGTTGACCTTCGTATTCAGCCACGGCGAGGCAAGCCTTGGGGAGCCCAAATGACTGGCCGAGCATTGAGTCGTGGACGCCTGAAATTTCCAAGGCTTTGGCGTGGGACTTGGAACTAAGACGGCTCTGAATACCCTCGATGGAAGTGGTGCAGTCGCCAAATCAACTCTGAAGATTCCCTTGAAAAAGGAATTTGGGAGGGTCCCTTGATTTCCATCTATGGTTCCATTTTCCCTTTCCTGGAAAGACTAAACAAATGGAAATGCGGGGATCTTTGAAGTACATTTGGTGCGCATGGACAAAGATGAGTCATGTGTTGTTGGTGGGAGATATTCCATCGCCATAATTTGTTGCTTCCCTCACCCCCGGTTTGGTGCTCTGGGCGCAAACAAGCCTCTGGAAGTGAGTTCGAGAGCTTGCGCCAGAAGGCCCTGCTTTGTGTTTCCTGTTAGCATGGCTCCGGCTATCCCCTCCGAGTTTGGGTTGTTTGCCCCCTCGAGGGACGGATGTGTTTTTTGTTTTTTTCCCCCGACCATGCGTTTTCCTTTCGGCGCAAGAGACATGAAGGGATTAAGGGGCCCCACGTCTTCACCAGGATCTCGAGCTCAATTTTGCAAGCAAAATGTGGCGAAATGCATGTTGGCGCCTCAGAGGCATCTCGTTCTTGCAGTTTGCAGCTCGTGATGCTCAAGCCCCTTTCTGTCTGACTTGTCGTCTCGTTTGAGAGGGATTTTCATCATGGCTGAGAAGGAGAGTATCTACGTGAAGAACACCTTCCTTCATTTTTGTGGGGCTGAGAATGAGTTTTCAGCCTCCAGGAGAGCATACTCCTGTCCACCGTGCCTCGCGTGCACAGGCAGGCTGGCCAAAGGTAAAGAATATGACTGCACTCAGCACACCCAATGCGAGCAGCAAGCAGTGACTCACTTGTCCAAAGCTGACCTTTTGCCTTTTCACTTGTTGAATTTCATTGCTTGTTGCTGCATTTGTTTGTCCAGGTTTCACTTCCACGTTCTGGCAAGTAAGGACGCTGGCGCAAGCAGTTCCGCGGACACGACCCTGCCGACACCCTCCGAAGGTGCAGGGACCATGTCGGATGAGACTCCTCAGCTTCTTGGCGAAGCACAGTTTTCCCCCTAGCTTTCGGCGTGGTGGTGAAGAACATGGCTTTTGGGCCACTTTCTCTTCGGTGCATTTTGCGTGGATGTTAGGACTTTAACTTTTTGCCAACTAGTGGGTTTTCCATAAAACCACAAAGTTTTAAACTTTTAATTAGCAGGGGAGCAGAAAGCAACCGAGCTCTGTGGTACTAAGGGAATACCCCGAAGTGGTGAGGTAACCAGGGGAATGACTCATATTGGTATCACAGAAACGTGCAAAACCACAACCCTGACTTTTGGAAAAGAAAGGTTGAAGATGGGGTGTGTGGTCAGTCAACCTTCCCCTACCCAAAAGTTGATATCAGTTCCTGGGTAACTCCAAATGATTAACCGCAACGTTCAGTGCAAAGAAGGTGGAGATCTGAGGGACACCAGTTCAACTGCCAGCTTGGGAACCCACACTGACTAGGGTTCCAGAATTCATCCTCTCAAAGCTTGGTGAGTGGGCTTCCTTTGAGTGGGTGTGATAGGTTGGATCGCTGGACCCGCTGTTTCGGTGGGCTTCGGAGACCCAGGTTTCAGGATGGCCTCGGCATGGACGAGGTGTGCTGTCCAGACTCGGAGGAAGAGGACATCTTGGGCAAGCTCAAAGACCCACCGCAGGACAACATTTGACACACCGCGGGTTTGTGCAGAAATTGTCAACAGGGGAACCCAGGGTTCAAGTCTACCTGGTTATCACAAAATGGAACCGTGCCCCCAGGTGCCCCATATGAGGAAACAACTCCTTAGGCCCAAGATAAACCCGCCGAAGGAGCTGAGGTGTTTGAAGGGGCGGGCTTTGGGGTACCATGACAGGGCGGGAAGGGCCGCTGTCCTTTTCCCAAACACACAACCTCCGCCTCCCGGAGGTCTTTCGGAAACCAACCAGGATTGAAGTCTACTTTGGGGTTATCAACTAATACCCTGGTCGGAGGTTTCCACAAAACTCACTATCGTTCAGTGGTCCCGTTTTCCTTGTGTTTGGTGGGCTGCCCGCTGATTAAAAAGGGATTGCCCCAAGCATCCAAAAAACAGGTTCCAGTTTGTTTGTACTGGAGCGCTGCGCATCGCGTTGCCGGCTGGAGGATGCGCCGTGCCAAGTTCGCCATCGTCAGAAGTCTCGGCCGCGCAAAAAGGAGCAACGTCCCGACAGGCGAGGACTGCAGAAGGAGATCAATACTCAGCTCATGGAGGTGGGGGTCTGGGTTCGAGAAATTGCAACCAGTAAGTTCTCTTGGTGGCTCCCAGCCATCCGGTTCCTTAGCCTTTTAGACTTTTGGTGTTTAGTGGTAGGTTCCGTATTCAACCCACTAAAAGTTGTTCACTTTTAGCGGGGGGATCCGAAAACGGGCAGCCCAGTTCTGTCGGGTGACCCGCTTGTGTAGATGGTGAGTGGGCAAACCACACCGCCAATCCAAGCCACAAACTGGAGGTAATCGGATTCTGGCGTGCGAAGTAAGAACTGCCTAAGTATAGGAGCTTCATGATGGGTAGCCGGTTTTTCCCCCAAGAATGGTGACCTCGGTACAAATCATTTACTCAGGCATCAATGCCCATGAGCTGTCTTTATTTGGTGACCCTAAATGGTTCTAACAAACCTGTTCCAGGATGCTGCACACATGATTGTGCAAGCTGGGGCCCGTTTGTTAGAACCTGCTTGGGTGACATTAACTTTGCTATGAAACGCAAAATGCCCATCTGCTTTCTGGTGGGAAACATCGGCATATTAATTTTAATGTTCCTTGAGTGAAACAGATACTGGGAGTTTGAGAAGCAGATATAGTGCTGGGAGTTTGAGTTTTCACGTGTTTCAAGCTCTGCTATTTGACAACCCGGGTTGGTTGCACAAGTGGTGACTGCGCAACTAGTTCCCATGGACCCGGTAGGAGAATCGCAAACATGACAACAGGATCAGTTGCCATACTGTAGATCCCACGAACCATGAATCCAATGAACCCGGTCTCCCTAACAAGCCTTCCCCCCTGCCAGCTCCCGATTTATGCTCCCCACCCTCAATGGTGGCTGATATGGCTTTTGGTCGTTGCATTCCTGCCTTCCAGCTTCCGACTTCCGACCCAACCCTTGCGAATGAACGCGACACCCCGAAGCTCCCCCGTTTTTGAGACAAATCGCATGCCCTGGAAGGCCTGCAAGAGCAGCGGCCAGCTGCAGGAAGCCTTGCCCGAATTTGGAGAACCCCCTCAGAGCCAAGAGATGCGGAAGCCGCGTGCGTTTTTTTCTTTTCCTTTTTGTCTTTTCGGGCCCCATGGGCAAACAGCGGGATCTTGCAAATGATTTGTCTCCCCACTTCCCGCCTAGCTTTGCGAGTTCGCTTTTCCAAACGTGGGTTTGGTCGCGGCCCTTGGCTTGCAAAACTAGGGTGGAAGGGTACAGAATTCCAATCAGAAACAGCGGAGATCCAGCCTTCGGGTGTTGCGTGTGAATCGCATGACGACATCGCCCAACATCACGGGCACCCACTCTTTTTTCCAAGTCTCCTTGAGGCGGACATGGTTTTGACAGGCATTTCAAGGCACCCAAGAAACAAACCTGTGGGTTTTGCACCAATCTTCAAAGGTTCAGAGTTGAAGCCGTTGCTTTTGCAAGGACGTGATTTCAATCTACCTTAGCTCTATGAATGGCATCAACTTGGCTACAGCCTTTCATCGGCTTGCTCCTTGGCCGGCGCGAGCGTTCAATGTTTTGCCTTCTGAAACGTTGCCTAAGCTTTCTACGCATGAATAGACTCACACCCTGCAAATTGTGCTTGTGTTTTGTTATTTGTTTACGAACCGGGGGCTAAACCTTGTCCAACTTTTTACCATCAAACTGTTTGAAAGAATAGTATTCCCAGCAGAACTAGCATAACCTTGTGTAGCTGTGGGTCAAAATTATGTACCCAAAATGGAACCCTGCCAAATGGAACCAAGCACTAAAACCTGCGGTCCCCTGGTTGTTTCATTTTGACCCATACCCGTATTAGGGCTCAGTTGGACCGGTAAGGCTCGCTGCAAAGATCACCGTGTGAAGGGCAGCGCCCGCGACTTGCTTGGGGCCATGATGCAGGCAGCGGAGAGGTTGGGACACCGCGAGCTGCTTGGCGGAATTGGTGTTACCATGGGTTCCGGCGTCCGGCTGGATCGCAAACTGAAATAAATGCAGGGGCTTAAAGGCGTCACCCTGCACTTCCTCCCTTTTTGGTTTGGGTTTTCGCTGGGCACGAACCCAACAGCGGGTTGCAAACCTGGTTCGTTCGTGGATTGTCATCCTCCAAATATCTTGGCGTTTCGGTCCTGAAGCCACTGGCAACCCCACAAAGGGGTCTTGTCTGTTATCTATCTGAGCCGCTGGGCAACTGGTCCCTGGTTTCAGTATGCAAGATGGACAATGTTTGTTCCTGGCCCCTGTTCTGCGTTGGGAATTTAAGTTTGTCCTTCATCCCTGGTTTTAGAGGGGGAGACTGAATGCGTGGACCCGACTGAACCTTTGAACGTGAACTTCAAGTTGGTTGGTCCATGAAACTATGGTTTCGGCTCAATTGTGTCAAAGAT